CCGGGATCCTAACTGGCGAACCCCGGGCCGCCGCAGCGGAGCGCGCGCACTTAACCGCTTGCGCCACCGGGCCGGCCCCTCGTGTCTCAGAATTTTTAACCCATACCCTCATGTAAAACAAATTTACAACTAGATTATAGTATTTATGTACATTTCTTTTTGTCCTTTCCAATCAGAGCACAATTTTTAAAAGTTACTTAGGTCATCGTTTTACCCTACATCCTTCAGCGAGGTTATATTATATATACATATTTTGAAATTTTTAATTAATTAATTTTTTTATTGCTGTTATATATTTTTAATACAGTTAGAGTCATCAGGTGCAATCTCCTGGGATTGCCCCACATCCTGGTTGATATTTTAATATTTGCATACATTGAAGTTCACCCTTCGTGATGTACATGTCTATGAGTTTGAACAAATGCATAGGTCATCTACCTACCATCCCAGTACCACACAAATCAGTTCCATCATTCTAAAAATTCCCCTATGTGTCCCCTTTGTAATCAGCCACTCCGCCCTCCCTCAACCCCTAACAACCTCTGATCTGTTTTACATCCTTGTCATTTTGCCTTTTCCGGAATGTCATATAAATGGAATCTTTTTGCGTGAGCCAATAGCTCACTCATTTTCGTTGCTGAATGTATTCCATTGTGCAGATGCGCCACTGTTTTTCTATCCATTCACCTGTTGAATGGCATCACGGTTGTTTCCAGACTTTTGGTGATTATAAATAAAGCTGCTATAAACATTTATTATCAGGTTTTTGCGTGAATACGGGTTTTTAATTTTCTTGGGTAAATACCTGGGAACATGATTGCTGGATCATACGTTAAGTGTATTTTTAACTTCGTAAAATGTACCAAATTGTCTTCCAAGGTAGCCGTACCATTGCGCATACTTACCAGCAACGAATGAGAGTTCTTGTTGCTCCCATCCTTGACAACATTTGGCATTGTCAGTTTCTTGGATTTAGCCATTCTAATAATGTTTTTTAGGAAAGAAATTCACAAACTTTGCTTTGCACAGAGTAGGTGTACATTAAAAAAATCAATTAATAAATGATGTTAATTATGTTAAAAGAATAAATGCCTAAAGAAAGTGAAAAGTTTCCCCCAATAGGTGTGATATTAACTGAGGAAATTTATTCTTTAGTATGAAGAGCAGTGCCTAGCACACAGGAGGTGCAGATAAATGACACTTTCCCTTATTCCCATCCTGTCTTTTCTCAGGGATTTCTGCATTCTCAAAAGGAAAAAGCTTCAGGACAAAGGAAAGAAGCTTTGATGGTAGGCTTCCAGACATCCATCACTGGAGAGAGGGTCATTAACTTAGGCACCTGGTCTTTGCCACTTATTCAGGTTCATCTAAGGTAGGGCCTCAAGTGGAAGATATTCTGTTGGTCAAGTCCAAAGTCCCTCTCTCTGTCCTCACTTTTCCAGAACTCTCTACTAGGAGGCAACTGAGGAAGATTGGAAGGCCAGAGGAGAGGAGAAAAGACTTTCCTTTTCCTGTTTGTCTGCTGTCCTGGTTCTGTAGCCCTAGCAACTGCAGATTATCCTGGCAATGACTGTTGGTACCAGCCTCCTTTTGAGACTTCCTTTGAGACTCCCAGGACCAGTCTCACCATGCAATGCCCCCCTTCAGATAATGTCCAAAGTCCCATCTTTGCCAAACTCTCTGAGCTCCTAACGTACCAGTAACAGCCAGCAGCCCCTCCTCAGAGTTCTGAGATCCAGTTCTGAGGGGATCTCCTCTGAGCGACCCTGCCTTGTGTTCCCCCAGCCCCAGGGGTAGTAGCTGCTTCCTGTAGTTACTCTGTCTGGATAACCTCAGTGCTCCATTTCTGCTCTTACAGCCCTCCATCACCCATGCGATCAATTCCCTCTATTAAATTTTCTTTGGTGAAATACCTACCATATTATATATTTTTCCTAATTTGTCCTTAGATTCTTATATTTAGGTTATTTCCTTCTTTTCTATTAAAAACAATGCTGCAATAAACATTTGTACATATCTCTGGGTACACATGTGTAAAGACTTTTCTATAATGTGGAGCCAGGAGTAGGGTTGCTAGGTCACAGGTATGAGCATCTTCAACTTTACTAGACAAAATCTGGGGGCTGGCCCCATGGCGTAGAGGTTAGGGCACGTGCTCCGCTGCTGGCAGCCCCGGTTTGGATCCTGACATACACCGACGCACCGCTTGTCAGGCCATGCTGTGGTGGTGTCCCATATAAAGTAGAGGAAGATGGGCACAGATGTTAGCCCAGGGCCAGTCTTCCTCAGCAAAAAGAGGAGGATTGGCAGATGTTAGCTCAGAGCTGATCTTCCTCACAAAAAACAAACAAACAAAAGAACTAGACAAAATCACTCCCTGCACTTCAGAGAAGCACTTTTATTCTCCATATTGTTCATTATTGTTTGCATTTCACCTCTTCTTCCTCCTAGTATCACTAATGGCCCCAAGATCCAGAGAAGGAAGCTGCCTTGGTTTCTATTTGATAAAATCCTGGCAGAAGTGTCTGAGATGGCCCTGTTTCACTTTGAGAGTTGGTAGCATCAGATCTGTGAGGGCTCATGCTTCAGGGGAATGGAGCAAGCTTCTCTCTTGATACCTCAGTTGAGTTACAAATATTTTCAGACACTCTTTATACTGGATACTGCCAAGATATCCTCTGTCCAACTCTATGTGGTTCCTTGACGTCTGGCAGCTTTGGGACTTTCCAAGCCTGAGGCACTGGAATCTTTGCCAGGCTCGGTTCCCCAGAGCTCTAGCCCTCTCGTCTGAGGTCCTGCCACCTCCCACCTCCCTGGGGCTCTGCCAGGGAACCTGCATCAGTCTGTACCTCAAATGGACTCACCAACATTTTCCTATCTCAGGAACTCTCGCTCCTGAGGCACACACACACAAACACACACGCGGACTTCCCTGAGCTTAGATTCCCGCAAAAGGCACAAAGGGAAGCTTGTCTCCCAGCATAGATCCCCGGGGCTGAACCTGGGGCAGTGGGAGGGACAGCCTCCAGCCACAATGGCTGGGAGACCACAAACCATGTCTCAGATTCCAAGACAGTGATTAGGAGTCCTGAAAACAACCTGAGACTCAGTGTCCAGCCATCTTGGCAGCTGGAGGCTGACTAGGTGAAATAGTATTCATTTATTCCTCTAGGAAAATAATGTGATGTTTTTTGCACCCAAGTACTTTAACTGGTCATCCCCATTATATTGTGTTATTTAAAAGTTCATTCACAACAACTCTGCGAGGTGGGCAGTATCATTCCCATTTCTGAGGAAAGTGAGGCCTAGAGAGGTAAAATAACTTGCCTGAGTGGCAGGGTTGTGACTTGAACAAGAATAGGCCTGCCTCCCCGAAGCCCACATTCTAACTTACCACCCAAACTCCTTGGGCATAAGCAGTGGAAAGAGCTGGGGTATATGCTTCCCCAGGCTGCCCTCAGCCTCCAGCCCATCATGCCTTCCCAAACTGCCTGGACAAATGATGCCAGAAAACTTAGCATCTTGGTGGGATACACTTCTTATATATTTGAATGCTTTGACTTCTTTACTCTGATAAATGTTGCAGCTTTGGTTGCATTTTCTTACCTGCTTCTGGCTGTGAATATCCCCTCACATGGAGTATGTGCTGTTTGCTAGTGCCTGTACTTTCTAGGGAAGCCAGGCTCATTGCCCTAGAAACATACCCAGGACTGAATCTTCCCTTTGACAAAATCTGAAGCAGGAGTCATTCAATATTTTTTTTAATGCAGGTCTTTATTTTTCCTGTGCAAATATGAATGTAGGCATAATTAATAGTTAAGGCTTTTAAAATATGTGCATTTTGAGAATACATTGCTAGTTTCATTTTGCTATTGATATGAGCTTGGATCACATCTTCCTTTAGTAGACCTTTTAAATCTACTTTAAAAAGTTAAAAGGGTCAAATGATCCATAATACAAACCAGGAGAGACCCATATAAATCCAAAATACATACTTGAAAATGCAGCACCTCTCGCATGAACTACACTAGGGCCTGGTTACATAGATCATAATGTCAGACCACAGAGACTTCAAAGTTGCCAGAGCAAAGAGGGCCATTTTATCTAAAAAGAGAAAAGAAAAAGAAAGGGGAAGAGGAGGAAGAGGAGGAGGAAAAGAAGGGAAGGAAGGAAGGAGAGAGATTGGAGAGAAGAGAAGGGAAACCTGCATATATGGCTTCTCTGCATCAGGAAAATAACTCATCTTTGGGTAATTTACAATATGTATTTGTAAGCAAAGGATAGACCATTGAGGTCATAATTCACAATCATAGAGCCCAAATATATAAATATCTTATAAAATGCTAATGGTATTCTATTCACTTGGTTAAAAAAAAAAAAGAAAGCTAGGTTCTGTACTCTGCATGCTTTTGGCTAGCTAAGAGCTTCACCTCGGGATGGAATTCCAAGGGGCAGTGAGGCTTCCTCTTTGGGGGTGGAGGGTCGGTTTGCAAAGACATGGCCTAAGGGCCTCGTCTTCTAAAAGTTCTGGTTGTCACCTTTGTTTGGCTTAGGACCCCATTCCAGCCTCCAACCTCAAAGGCTCACCCTGAGGACAGCTCTCCTCCTGCAGCCAGAACAGGCTGCCCCAGAGCCCGGCCCAAGGATGAGGAGAGAGGCTGTCTCTGAATCCCTTTGGCGAGTAAGACAGAAGGGTCTCTTTCCCTAACTGAGATGCTCTTTCCCCTGAAACAGACTCTGGTTTCACAGGGGCCGGAGGGCAGGGAGGCTGGATTTGATTCACAGACGTGGGGTGACCTCACTTTATCCCTCGTACTTGTCACAGCACGACCAAAGGCCAGGGTTTCTAGGGTCCCAAAGAGCACATGCGGAGATACCAGATTCAGAAATATGCCCCAAAGTGTCTCGTGTAAGGTTGAAGTTGAGTTACCACATTGTACTTCCAGTTTAGGTTATATCTCCCTCAGCAGAGGTGGTGGAGTGACATATGGGAGGGGGACGGTGACTACATAATATTCCATTTACAAGAAAATGAAATGAAGTTCCAAACTCTAAAAATTCCTCATGGATTAAAAAAAATAAGAGTTCTGTGCACGTGCTTTCCTACGCTTGGGTTGGGGACGCCTCACACTTTACAAAGCCCTCACGCAGTGTTCCACGTGGACCTCACAACAACCTGGCACCTAACTGGGGCCGAAGTAATGAGTCCCATTTTCCAGATGAGGAAACCGAGGCTCTCTCCCAAGGCCACACAGCTTACAAAGGGTAAGAGAGCTGGAATTCAACCCTGGCCACGTCCTGTGTCATGTACCTGCGGCCACACAGCATCCCTCTGACAGCTGACCCTGAGAGGCAGAAGACAGACATCTGCATTTTCACTGTTGTTTGGCCTCTGTTTTTGTAGCACCCCCGGGAGCTTCCCCATCAGATGGGAGGTCCGTCCCATAGATCTTCACCTGGCTTTCCAGTTGGCTGAGACGCTGCTTCACTCTCATCTGGGTGGAGTTGTACTCGGCCAGGAGCCGTGCAAACCTGGTCTGCAGGATGTCCAGGGAGGACTCCAGGTGCTCAACCTTCTCCTCGATGTCCTTGGGGTCCGCCCCGGCCTTGGCCAGTTCCTCGTCAATCAGGTTGTCCTTCATCAGGATCTGCCGTCCCTTCTCCTCCAGGGCCTTCTTGGCATCAGGGTATTCAGTGAGAGCCTCCATCAGATCATCCTTGGAAAGGCAGAACAGGTCTGAGTAACCGATGCTCCTGATATTGGCGGTTCTGCGGTTCCCCGACTTGCTCCCCTTAATGTTTAAGATGCTGATCTCCCCAAAGTAACTCCCATCACTAAGGACCACGAACTGGGTGATCCCATCATCGGCCACCACAGCCAGCTTGCCCTCCTTGATGATGTACATCTCCCTCCCAATGTCCCCCTTCTTGCAGATATAATCCCCAGGGCTGAACACTGTGGGTTGCAGCTTCAACACCAGTTCCACCAGCAGTCCCGCCTCGCAGTCCTGGAAGATGCGGACCTTCTTGAGAGTGTCCAGGTGCACATTGATGGCGATCTCGGCCTTCAGCTTGTCTGGGAGGCTCTTGAGCACCTCCTTCTCATCCACCGTCTTCCTGTTGGCCCACAGGTAGTCAAACCACCTGATAACACGTGTCTCCAAGTCCTTGGTCACCTTGCGGAATTGCATGTACTGCTTGATGGAGTCAATCTTGGCCTGGAACTCAGCCCGGGAAGCATTCATGTTCGAGATCATGGAGCCCACATTGCCCACAATGGTGGCGAAAATCAGGACGCCCACCAGGAAGTCTACGACCACGAAGAGATACTCCTCGTCTTTCACAGGGGGTGGGGTCTCACCGATGGTGGTCAGGGTCAAGGTGGACCAATAGAGACTATAAATGTACTTCCTGGAGAGGCGCCCATACTCAGGTTTTGAGATGTTTGGGTAAACCCAGGAGTCTGTCCCGAAACCAATGAACTTGGAAATGGCAAAGTAGATGCAGGCATTCCAATGGATGATGATGAGGATGTACAAGACCAAGTTCCCAATCCTGAACACATTGGGGTAGTTGGTCCTTGTCTCCGTGCGGTCAAAGAATTCAAAGAGCCGGGCAAACTTCAGTAGGCGGTTGAATCTCAGTTCTGGGTAGTTCATGCCCAGCTTAAAATAAGCCAGGTCCGTGGGCACCAGGGACAACAGGTCCAGCTTGAAGTGCAAGGTCTTTGTGTAATGATTCCAAAGCCTCTTGGTGTCCTTGACCATCAAGCCTTGCTCAAGGAACCCTAAAGACGAAGACGGAGGTCACTCGGGCATCAAAGAGTCTGCCCTTTTTTGACCATGGCCCACAGAAGGATATTTTACCTCATGACTACACAAGATGTAGTTATACGTATATAATGGAAACAATTTCCAAAAACCACACTTACCATTACTACAGGAAATACACTCAGTTATTTTCTATTCTATGATGTTCTAATCCATTTTATTCAATTAAAAATATAGATCAACTGGGTAAAATTAAATGCGGACCGGGTATTCAATGATAGCAAGGAATGATTGTTAAACTGTAAAAGATAAATGGGAGTTATATTTAAAAAATGGGTCCCTTAAAGTTAGGGATACATGTTAGTGGTTACTGTCTGAGATTTGCTTTAAAATTCTCCAGCCAACAACACAGGGTGGGGGGATAGGCGAAACAAGATTAGCAAAATGTTGATAATGGTTGAAGCTGGGTGAGGGTATGTGGGGATTCATAATACTACTCTCTCTGATTCTGTATAAGTTTGAAAATATTAATAATAAAAATTTTAAAAACACAGGTCATGGCTCATCAAATTGATTTGACCAGTCACTAATGAGGCACAACCCATCTTTTTAAGACATTGCCCAGAAGCACAGTAGTTCTCCTTCCTGGTTGCACATTACTGTCAACCAACGGGCTTTTAAAGCACATGAAGCCTGGGACCCATCCCCTGGGACCCAGCCTGGTCCGGAGATGGGCTGGCCATTGGGAGTCGTGAGGCGTTAGTACCCTTGAAATCAATCAAGGAGACCATGACTTGCATTCTTCTTCTTCTCTTATTTTTTTAAAACATTTTCAAATAAGCACAAAATTAGAGAGAATAATATATGAATGCTTTTTAGACTTTGGTAAGCATCAGGATCACCCCGAGGTATCTGTAAACCACCGAGTGCCAGGCCCATCTCTAAACTTTGGTTTCATAGGTCTGGGGCACTTCTAACAACTTCCAGGTCATGTGCTGGTCCAGGGCCGCACTCTGAGGGCTAGACTGAGGTAGGACTGCCCCCTCTGTGAAAAGCAAACATCTAGTTTGTTGTCATGTGTTAGGGACACGCTGCCTCCCAGCCTCGCAGTCCCTATATTATTCTTCGGTTACACTTGTGTTAATTGAGTGCCTAGATCATTATGGGGCACTCCTTGTGCCTTGGTACTCCTCAATATTTCCTTACTATGTCTTCTCTAACTCTGACAACTTTTTCTGTTGGAGTATCATCCATGGCCACTTGGTTTCTGTGCCCACATGCCCCCTCTCCCCCGGCTTCCTGCTGAATCTTAGGTTGCCAAGGACAGTACCCAAGCACAAAAAGGGGTGGGGTCAATGTCTGAGTGAGGGTGACCTGTCCCACTGAAGCTTGGTTGAAACAGGGACGGTTGGCCCAATGAGTCCGGCCACTCACGGGGCTCTTGTGTCTCAGGAGGCTTATGTGACCACAGAGAGGCTGACCACCAGGACTGGCTAAGTCACCTATGCAAGCCTCAAGCTGTGTACCTGAGGTCTTTAAGTTATGATGCTGGGCACTAATGTGGAAGAAGATGGGGTGCCAGTCTGACCCTGCTGGGTAGTGACCATGGACTTTGGGCAAGTCATTCAGTGTCTCTGGGCCTCGGTTTCTAAATGAGCAAGATGGAGATAATCGTGCCTGCACCTCTTGTCTCATGCAGCAGTTCTAATGAGAAAACAAGATGTGCTTGAAATGCTTGCTACACCGTGAAGCTACACCAAGGTTTGCTGCTGTGATCTGATGGTATTTATACTGACAACTACGGCACGGTTTTTAGTTCAAAAATTTTGGAAGTGACAAGCAGGGCCTCCACCAGCTTGTGTGATGTCTTTGTGCAAATCTGAAAAAGGTGCCTCAAGGATGCACAGCTTGGAGCCCAAGGCATGGATGGGGTTTCAGCCCCCACCCAAAACCAGAGGCCATTGGAAGGAAGTCATCATTCGCCTAGGCACTGTTTCAAATTTTAGTTCTCCATATATTAAAACTCCTTTAAAGCCCCAGAGTAATATGCCTAGGATCCTCTGACTGTCCAAGAGAAGGAACTCCGAGATTGAGCCAGCTCTCCCTCCCGCTTCCTGCAGTGTTGAAGTCACAGCTGGAGGGGTCCTTTGAGATGATGGTTTGGCCTTCTTATTTCACAGGTGATACAAACGAGGCCCAGAGAGACAGCTGGACTTGTTCAAGGTCACACAACTAGTTGGGACAGCAGAGATGAGAACCTAGGTGTCCTGACCCCTGCTCAGGGTCCCATCCAAGGGGTCATTGTAGAGGGAGCTCAAGGTAGCACCACCCACACTCACTGTTGGAGGTTCCTCAGACCTGCCTGGTCTCTCACGGTCTGAGGTAGGTAATGTCCACCCTACTGTTCTGGATCTCCCTGGACACGCCCCTGGTCCCCCTCCTCATGCACTCTGTGGGGTCTGTGGGCTGGCCCAGAGTAGTCCCGGGGCCTGGGGCACACTCACCTGTCCGGGCTCGCACCAGCACATCCAAGCCATACAGGACATCTGCTAAGTAGTCCAGGACCAGCCACAGCATCAGGTGGTCGGACTGAAGCTCATCAAAACAGGCCCTAAACAAGTGCAAGAAGGAGTTGGAGTGTCGGGGACAGGGACCGATGTGGCACACGCTCTGTGCTGCACACAGTGGGTTGGTCCATCATGTTACAGGGTAACAGCCCTGCTGCAGGGTTTGTATCCAGCGGCATCACCCCAGGCTCTGCTGAGGAGACCCAGGCTCTGAGAAGCTTTTCTGTCCCAAGGTCACGGAGAGCTGGGATCAACTCCAAAGACAGGGCCCTGTGGCCTCTTGGCGGTAAGCTAAGAGACCCCAGAAGGGGCAGGCTTTCTAGGCCTCACTGGTGGAGTCAGGTGAAGGGACTGAGGACTTGCCCTTTCTAGGGTCAAATGCCAATGAAGATATAAGAATTTCTGAGAGATTAACAACTGAACAAACCAGTAAATATTTTCTACTTTCTAGATCTTTATGCTCACTATTTCTCATACAGACAATACCCTAAAATACCCCTCTTAGCCCCGAAAGAGCAGCTGGCTCAGCAACTGCAAAGTCCCCTGCTCCCCTCTCAGAACAGCAGCTGGTCCCTGCAGCCACAGAGCCCCTGCTGACACAGAACAGCAGCTTGCCTGTGTATCCCCTCCTGCGTGAGTGCTAGGAAGGGCCTCAAGTTCTCCCTCTTCTCACCACCCCCCCACTTACCCTCAGGAGAGCAAGGGATCCCCCCTTGCTCAGACAGTCCCAAGAGCCCCCGCTCACTCTCAGACAGCAGTGGCAGGTCTCCTCCGCATCCCCGGCGTGTATCCTGACAGGAGCGCTCCAGACCCACGGTTTAGCCTCTGGAGCAGCGGCTCCCTGTCTTGCAGGTTGGCTCAGGACTGCCCCAGAGCCTAACGTCTGCTCTCAGCAGAGCAGGACTCGCCCTGCACCCTCGTGCTGCAGGCCGGCTCAGGAAAGGCCCAAAGGCACCGCTTACCCTCACAGAGCTGCAGCTCTCGCCTGCGTCGCGGTCCTGCTGCGCGCTCAGGGAAGTCCCAAAGCGCCCCCACACCCCAGAAATAGTCATACCGGTCCTTCAGGCTTGCTTAGGAATGTCCCTAAGCCCCTCTGCCTTCCCCGCACCTCCCTATCTACCCTCAGAGGAACAGCAGCCCACTCTGCATCCTTGTCCCATAGGCCTGCTAGGAAGGCTCCCAACCCCTTGCTTACTCTCAGAGAGTAGCAGCTCACCCCTTATCCTGCCCTGAAGCTTGCTTAGAAAAGCCCCAAAGCCTCCTGTGTACCTCCGGGAGAGCAGCGGCTTGCCCCTCTGGCCCCGACCTGCTCGCTCAGGGACTCCCCAAAGCCCCGCCCCCTCAGAACCGTGGGCGCACAGCTCCTCCTCCTGAGGCCCAAAGCCCCGCCCACCCTGGGGGGAGCAGCCGCTCACGCTCGCACTAGAACACCCCAGAGGCCCCTGCCTACTCTCAGAAATGCGGCCTCTTCACCCTGCATCCTTGCCTGCACCTTGCTCAGAAATGCTAGCCAGACCCCCGCCTGCCCCACTAAAGGAGAATCAAGGCATCCCTTCACACCTCTCCTGCAGACTTTCTCAGAAGCGCCCCAAAGCCCCCGCTGGCCTACGGAGCAGCAGCTCACCCTGCATCCCTGTCCTGCAGCTTGCTAGGAAAGTTCCAGAGCCTCCACTTATCCTCACAAGAGCAACAGCTCGGCCCTCATCCCAGAAGTATGTGCTTGCTTAGGAACGTTCCAGAGCCTCCATTTACCCCCACAAGAGCAACAGCTCGGCCCTCATCCCGGAAGTATGTGCTTGCTTAGGAACTTCCCAAAGCGCACGTCTACCCTGAGAAAGTAGCAGCAGCTTGCCCTGCACCCCAGCACTGAAAGTTGCTTGGGAAAGCGCAAAGCCCACAGCCTGCAATCAGAGAACTGTGCTTCTCCCCTGCATCCCCACCCTGCAGGCAGCTCAGGAACGCCCCAACCCCACCCACTGCCCCTCAGAGGAGCAGCAACTCGCTCCTGAGTCTTCCTGCTACAACCCAATTAAGAAGGCTCCAAGGTGCCAGGACCCTTGCTGTTGATCTCAGGCGCAGTCCTACCAATGCCTCAGAGAAGCTTGATGGTTCTCTTTGAGATCCTCCTTATAGATGGAGAAACTGAGGCACATATAGCTGGATGGTGGCTGCGAGGGGACGAGAAGTCCGGCTTCCTGAGTGGGACTCAGAGCTCATTCTGGAGGCCTGTCTGCCCTCACTCCCTCCCTGCCCCTCCGCCCTGCCCCTCCTGGGTGGAGGCCTGCCCAGCGCCCCTACCTGCACACTAGCAGACACCAGTTATAGAAGACAGGCAGGGCAATGACAGTCAGCCAGTGGTAGTACACATTGCTGGAGGGGTCCACCACAATGGGTTCCTTCTTCTTTCTGGAAACACAGACACACACAAACAGCACAGTGTGTTGAAAAACCACAGCTTTGGAGCGTCTTAGAGCCCTGGCCTAGCTTAGAGACCCTAGGGCACTTGCTGGCTGAAGCTCAAGAGATGGCTGTCCCAGACAGTGTCCTGTCAGTCTCAAGAGGTCACCTGGAGTGTCCCTGTATGGGAAGACAGGCTGGGAGCAGGGCAGACTCTGGTCCTTCCTTCCCTGCTCAGCTCCCCAGGAAGCCTCAGTTGACTATAAAATCCTGGTGATGGCATTCCCATGTGTCCTGTGGTATCCTCCATGCTCTTCAGGATGCTGAGAATGAAAATGCAGCATGGTAATGTTGGAATCATCTGGGGCAGCTTTGTGAAAATGCTGATTCATGGGGCCCACCTGGACCCCCATCCAGGGCTGGGGCCTGGAAATGTGCATTTAAACATTGCCCTGATCGGGGGTTCTGAGGCTGCTCCTCTCTGGACAGAATTTGGAAGCCCTGGGGCATTCCCTCGGGAATGCTCTCCACCTGGCTCGCTGCATTCGTGCAGATGTTCTGAAGACTCATTTCCAAGCACTTGGATCCTGCCTCTCCATCAAGAACTGCTGACCTGGGAATCATCTAGGTTACTGTGGGCCAACATTGATTGGAAGAAATAGCTTAGGGTGCTTTCTGGTTTTATTTTCAGGATTTTCTGAGGATTACAGGTGGTACTGGAGATTCTTATTTTTCTTTGGGTCCACATTCTCCTCCCCCACCCCATAGCCCCCTATGCTGGCCCAGGCCCTAGAGGAGACCCTGGGGTGCCTTCCTGCCTGCACCTCGACTCAGCAAGTACAAGATCAACTGCTCACTGACAGGGCTTTGAAATGTTCCCGACACTCATCACCATGAGTTTGGATTAAAGTTTGTGCATAGAGTATTTTCTAGTGCCCAGGAGAAGGCCTCCGCTTACCCCGACTGTGTGGACGGTCACTTGTGTGGACAGACAGGGGGTGGGGCACAGGGGCAAGTCCACAGGGACAGCCTCTAGTTGCTCACCTGAGGCTGCGGAAAGCCCTCTCTACCTGTCACCCCCTTTGGGTTCCCAGAGCTGGGGCAGGACCCTCCCTGCAGAATGGGACCCTCACGTGATCTCAGGAAGCCTGACCCCCGCCTGGGACCAACTCCTCTCCCGCAGCCCTAAGCAGCCCCCTCTGTCTGAGCAGCATCGCTCTCAGACTCACGGGTCCTGGGCCCCAGGGAGGGTCAGGCCTGCTCTGACCTCTTGGGAGTACTTGAGCTTCTCTCAGTACTTACTCTTCTTGTTTCGGGCAGTTTTCCTTTTTCTCTTCTTCCTTTTTCTCCTTCTCCTCCTTTTTCGCTTTGTCACTGGATGATACAGGGTGACATTTAGCAATTTTCATATGCCAAGGACACTACCAAGTGGAGAGGGTAGGCTATGGTGATATGGAGGAGAGGGTGTGGCATAGAGAAGGGTATTTCCAGCACACTGGGACAAGGAATGAGGCTACTGATTTCTTTATTATAATTATAATAATATTCCTGGAGTGTGAGGTAAGCCACCCCATTGAAGCACGCATTAAATATGCTGAAGTAGACATGCAGAGTGGTTCAGTCTAATGTTCTACAACTTCTGACCTACGTTCATGAGCCCCTAGGAAGTCACAAACAGCTTGAGACGGGAGACCTTTTGAGGTAATTGGAAATAAACCCAAATCCACACACTTAGGGCAGAGAAGTCACTCGGAGTTTTGAAAGTCACATGTAAAGCTCTTCAGCTCTCAGTCCTGAAGTAAACGGTGTGGCCTGTCAGTTGTTCTGGGTCAAATGAAAACCTGGCCCTTGATGAGAAAGCCAGGGAGCAAAAGGGAAGCAAAGTCTGCATGGGCAGGAACAGGTATGCCAGGTGGTGGCAAATCTTAGAGTCGTCTGAGGCAAATGCAGTCGCGTCGGACACAGATCCAGACTTTGCTAGGCTGTGAGGCGGTGGGTGGAAGAGCGCCCCTTCTGCCTGCGTCTGTGGGAAGGTCCGTGAGTGCAGGTGTTTCCTCAACACGTGGATTTACTGTGCTTCCTCTTCTTTATTGCAAGTCTTTCAGGGGCTGGGCACGGTTATAAAGGTTATCTACGATGGGTCTGCAAGGCAGGCATCATTGCCCACAGAACAGTTGAGGAAACAAAGGGGAAAGGTAAAAGACCCAGCCTGCCCAAGGCGCATCCCCCAGAATCACCACAGGCCCCATCCAATTCCCCTTTTCCACATCTTGGAGGAAGGCACGGGGTGTCTGCTAATTAAACCCTCGTTGAACAAGACCAATACACTTTACAAAGGACTTCCTCAGGAAATAATCAAAAATGTGTGTGCGAACACGCATACAGAGGAATAATCACTACCCTTATTTCTAATAGTCAAAAAGTGTAAGCAATCTAATCATGCAACAGTAGGAGCTTCGTCATCAACGAGAAATTCTACGAGGCCACTTAAAATTGTGTCGTGGAAGAACATTCAGTGACATGGGAAAATGTTCCTAATATTTCACGAAGTTAAAAAGCAGGCTACAAAAGAGTGTATAGTAAGAGCTGTATTAGTTTTCTGTTGTTGCCAGAACAAATTACTACAAATGTAGTGGCTTAAAACAACCCAAATTTATTATCTTGCAGGTCTGTAGGTTGGAAGTCTGGTATGGGTCTCACCAGACTAAAGTCATGGTGTGGGCACGGCTGTGATCCTTTCTGAAGACCCTAGGGGAGAATCTGCTTCCTGCTTACTTAGATTGCCGGCAGAATTCAATTCCTTGCAATTTTAGGATATCCTCATTTTCTTGCTGGCTCTGAGGTGAGGGCATTCCCAGCTTTCAGAGGCTGCTGCATCCTTGGTCCTAGGCACCCTTCCTCCATCTGCAAAGCCAGCAACAGTAAGTTGAGTCCTTCTCAAGATCTCATCTCTCTCGTTCTCTGCAGCTGGGAAAGGTTCTGCACTTTTAAAGATGCATGTGATTAGATTGGGCCCACCTTGATAATCCAGGATAATCTCCCCATCTCAAGTTCCTTAAACTTAATCACCTCTACAAAGTTCCGTTTGCCCATGTAAGATAACAGTCACAGGATGTGGGCATTAAGGTATGCGCATCTTGGGGAGCCATTATTCTACTTACTATTCACCTTCATTCCAGGATCCCCCAAAGTCTCATCCCGTTATAGCATCAACTCAGAGTCCAAAAATATCATCTAAATCTCATCAGTTCAAAAAATCCTGAATCTCATCATCTAAATCAGTGTGGGAAAGGCTCTGGGTGTGAATCATCCTGGGCATGAGTCCTCTCTCCCTGTGGACCTGTGACACTAAAGAGACAAATCATCTGCTCCAAAAACACAATCGAGGGGCAGGCTTAGATAACACATCTAGACATTACAGTTCAAAAAGGGAGAAGACGGAAGGACAAGAGGAGTCACTGGTCCCAAGCAACTCTGAAATGAAGTGGGGGCAATTGCCGTTAATTTCAAGGCCTGAGAATGATCCTCCGTGGTTCACGACTCGGTTCTCCGAGTCACCTTCCTTTTTCATGAGAAGTAGCATCCATTTTCATGAAAGGTATTTGGTAGCCGAGTGGTCTTATTAGCCTGTTTCCTGCATCTAGAATTTAGGGGTCCAATAGTCTTCCTTCATTTCATACTATTTCTGTCTGTTCAGGTCTAAGCTGGCAGTGTTTCTGCTGGTATGAAATCTTCCAGAACTTTGTGAGTCATGGATACCAGAGAGATTCACTCTGCTAGACAAGAAGCTCATTCACAGATCTTTCTGAAAAATCTCTTCTCTATTTTTGGCTCGGGCTGAGAAGGCTGAAGGGAGCTATTCGCCACACCCTTAATCTCTTCAGAGAGTCTTCTATGTGACTCAATACTCAGAGCTTCTGATCTTTCTGAGGTTTTAGCAAAAGGCTGGTCAGCCATACCCTCGGTTTTCCTGATGGTGAGTTTTTAAAATCTAGTATCTTTTGCCATTTGAGTAGGCTGAGAATTTCCAAAATCATCAGGTCCTGTTTCCTTTTCATTTTATTTATTTATTTATTTTTATTTTTCTAAATTTTTTGTTTATTGCAGTAACATTGGTTTATAACATTGTATAAATTTCAGGTGTACATCATTATACTTCTATTTCTGCATAGAT